GTATCTGATTTAAACCCAATCCCCCCCTGGGATTCTGAAAATGAATCCGATTCAAACCCTGCTCCCTCCTTGGATTCTGCAAACAGATCAGATTTAAACCCAAATCCCACCTGGGATTTAGCACATTGCTTTGAATCCAATTCATCAGGGCCTGAACAATCTGCCTTGGCAGACATTCCCCAACAGTGTTCTCTTGCTTCAGAAATATTTCTGTTAAGGAATGTGGGGTCATTTTGCTCTTCTGACTCTTGTTTGTTTGATGCACTTTCTTTGTTCTCAGCAATATTCCCATAGTCATATGAGAGTTCGTCATCGGCACTCATCCAGCCTCCTCCCTGGCCACCATCAACCCATTCTTCAGCTGTCTCATACTCTGACCCAGATCCATCTAAAGACCTGGACCTCTTATCCCCACTGTAGCCTTCGCCATCCTCAATCTCTTCACCAAATTCATTGGTGAAAAGAAGACCTGGAGTAGATTTCCTACGATATTCCTGCCCCACATTTTCTCTGCCTAACTCTACCAGGTAATTCTCATCTCTAACCCCACTAGACTGGTGGAGGTTAGAGTGAGTCAGGGTTTCCCAGCTGCTAACCTCATCTTCCTTAGCTCTGGACTCACTGTCCTGGACAGTAGTTAAGTCTCCATCTGGTAGTGAGCCTTCGGGCTTCGGCCAGCACTGAGCTTCTCCCTGAACACTGAACCGCTCTCCTTCTGGCATTTCATCCACAGTTCCTGAAGCAGCTGGGACTGCAGCTGAAGCATCATCTTCATTTGCTGGCACTGAACCGAAGTCTGCAGACCAGTCAGCCACAAATCCGGATTCATCAGCCTGTTTGAGCAAAACAAGAAACTCATGTTAAAGTTTGACCCTTGCTCTATGCAGAGCAACAGCAGACATTTATGGGCTTATTGACTGTTAGCAGCCATAATAAATAAGCTTCAGTTCACAGTATGTGTTTTAGGGTTAGATAGTTATTGTAGCTGTATGGCTGGGTAAAACTAACGCTTCTATCAAGAAACCTTTTCTGGTCCAAGAAGATCACAGGCAAATATCACATCAACAATACAGCAACCAAGTGGACTGATGCACATATTGTGCTTTCAGCAGAAAAATTAGTTTGAAGCTAAATTGTGTATCCGGCTGTGCTCTACAAGTAATGCAGGCAATTTCTATAAACATACTGCATCAAGAGTTAGAACATGTTATCTAAATTAGGTTGAGCCAAATAAAATACTGTAGTTCTCTAATGCTACGTTCAGACCACATGCGATTGAAGCAGCAGAGGCCGGTGGTCTATGGTCAACATGCATCAAGGCGCATCAGAAGGTCCGGCAGTTTGTCTAGAGCAGCAGGAGCAGCACATCTTCATGAATCTGAGCAGCGCCTCGTGAGCTTCTGAGGCATGTGATGCGCTTCACAAGCAGCAGCTGCTGGAGTTGGAAACTTTAGCTGCTGGATGCGCTGCATCAACCAATCAGAGAAGCTGATCTGGGAGCTGGCAGGGAGTCAGACGCAGCACTGCTGATGCAGAGCGCTATGATCACTCCTCTGAAACAGTTTATTAACGCCTAAATTAACTTCAAATGTAGAAACCTGCCGGCAGAATCTGTTGGCTTTATTATCCTGCTGCCTGCAGTTTGTAGCACAGACCTGAAAAACGCTAACATCTACTTCCAGCCGCCACCAACAGGAGGGGAAAACCCTGGAGAGGCGAGCGGGCCTGAGGCAGCTGCTGCTGGGGATTCCCAGTGACAGCGCAGCGCCGGTATGTGGGGGTCTGAGCGGCTCCCACAGAGAAATAATCTTTGAAGGCAGGATGGTAATCTGGATGAACTGACTGCACAGACCATGTTTTCAGGAGGACTTTCTCACTTCAACATAGATTCTAACTACTTTCTACCCGCTGATCACAGCTAATATAGCAAAGCTGCTCTCTGGCGTCGAACAGCAGCAGAAGCATCTGGACTCATTTTACTGGACGCGCCTCAAGGGCGTCCTTGATGATCTTGAGCCTTGCTGGAATTAAAATGTACAAGCTTGAAAAATGAAGCAGCAGATGGTTTGCTGGTGCCCAAAGTGCTTCCTGTGTGAACGTAGCATAATCAGATCAACAATGAGAACTGCCGTGTCTGGATGGATTACTACCGGTGCTGTTTGCTTTGTCCTCTAGAAGGAGACAGACTCCAAATATTCATAAATATCTACAGTGAGGAAAATAAGTAAAAAAAAATTGTACATTGTCATTTCTGGATTTTTTATGTCTTACAAAGTGGACATGCAACTACGATGACAACTTCAGACCCCTCCATGATTTCTAAGTGTGAGAAATTGCAAAATAGCAGGGTGAGTATGCGGGTTCAAACACTTCTTTTTTTCATTGTATAGCCATCCATAAAACAACTTTGGGAGATGCAGTGAACCCAAACAGGCTCAAGCAGCAGTATCTAGTTCATCATAGTCTATGCAGGTCCTTTACAAAATGATTGTGTTGGCATAAGACATGTCCCTGGTCCTTTTTGCATTGCTAATCCTTCCATGGAAGGGCAAGTAGAGCTGCCAATATCCACAGAGAACATGGTGACCAAACAGATGCCCCATTGGTGTGCTCTAAGAAAACAGAATCAACCAACAAAAATCTGATACTCCATATACTTCTGACAAAGGTTATTGTGAGGAAACTTCTCATCATTAAACGGTGTGATAGATTATTTGGTTTCCCAGAAATGAAGGCTAAAAATCCATTAGAAATATTAAGCTGTAGTGTTGGTAAGCCTGGGGGGCAGCAGATCCCAGAACCCCTCCTCAGGGAAACAGAAAAAGCTGAAATTTGGATGAGAAGTGTAACTAAATCCACTACATAAAGATAATGGAAATCCAGGAAGCAGAATTGTAGATATGCATAGCTGCCTTCCAAGCAGCTGACTGGGGTTCGATTCCCACTGGGGTTTGATTCCCGGCCAATGCACCAATTGTAGAAGCTCATTGCTAGAATTCTCTTATGATGGAAAGAACAACACTTGAAAACAATGAATGCCATTTTGTCCTCCGGAGGGAGGAGACATTTATTTACAATTTGAATTCCTACAGCTGTCTTAAACACTTCATAAGCTCAGCGCTACATGGTCAGACATCTCAGTTTTTTTCGCAGTCTTGCTGGTGTATGTGTGTGTGTGTGTATGTGTGTCCTAAATTGGCCTGTTTGACACTTGAACAGGAAGAAGGTGTTCTCTGTTAATGCCAACATTTCTTAGCTTACAACCTGATTGCGTGCGAATCACCAATTAGGAATGTTGAATTTGCAAAGATTGGTACGTGACCTCCAGCATGTATTAATTCTGTGTCCTGTCCACTTTATATTCTGTGTTGTTAAGTTAGTATAAGGCCTTGAAATATGTTTGCACAGTGAAAATTATATGACACCCTAACACTGACCACAGTCCTTTCTAAAGGTCTTCTTTAAACCTTTCTGTTAATACCTCAGTAAGTATACATCCCAGGGAGACACAGAAATGAGCATTTAAGAAATAGGACTGAAGCAAATGAATTCAGTTTCAATTCCATTCTATTCAGTTTATTTCTATAGCTCCAATTCACATCATGTCATCTCAGGTCACTTTCTAGATCCAGTTCACCAGATCATCCAGTCAGATTGATTCAAAGTTTTCTATCTAAGGAAAACCAGCTGATTGCATCGACTCATTGACTCTTCAGCAATCCCTCACACTAAGCATGCTTGTAGCGACAGTGGAGAGGAAAAACTCCCTTTGAACAGGAAGAAACCTCCAGCAGAACCAGGCTCAGTGTGAGCAGCCATCTGCTGAGGCCCACTGGGGTTCAAGGAGACAGAAGCAGACATAGAAAAAGAAGCATAGATACAAAAGGCGACTGTCAACCAGCTCCACAGGCGGCCCCGTCCAGGAAACGCTTTCACTGAATGACTATTTGTTTCTTTACAACAGCTCTTTTGTTTTAGAGGACTGTGAGTCCACAGTACCATTTTTTGAAAGGGATTTTGGATAATGTGTCTATCAAAATATTGAGCCTTTCTGTGTTTAGAATGTCACTAATAGAATTTCAGGAAGGGGATAAACTAAGTTAATGTGAGTAAGTCAGTAAAGATAAGTTCAAATATTTGAATTCAGTTTTTTTTATGAGGAGGGGCAGTCGCTGATATAAAGTAAACCCTGCAAGTGAGGAGCTATGGGGTGTCCACTGCAACAGAATTCAACTGTGTAACTACAGTGTTTGTTTGTTAGGCATCTTAGTTTTGACAATCTGAACACACCAATCTAAATCCCATTAAATAACAGAGAACTAGTCTGACACCCAGTGACTAAAAAGCTCTGCTCAGACACTTAAAGAACAAGCAAGAAGATAATTCACTGCAGCAGCAAGAGGACATTTCTCAGGTCTCTTGCTGAATAAAGCCACCCTTGGTTCATGCACTCAGAAAGCTCCCTGCTTATTTTGAGATGAAACGTCGTATTTCCTGTCTGTCTAATCTGGTCTTTAAAGTGGAAATGTTTTGCTTAACCAGCCGTCAGAAATGAACTTGATCTTTATCTCCAGTAGATGACAGAGGAGCGCTGTTGGTCACAAAATCAAAGAGTTGATGGGATCAGTGCATTTCATAGAATGGCTTCTATTTGCAATGAAAAAGCACAGATGACAGTCAGTGTAAATGTTTGCAGGCTATTAGTGTCAAATGATAAAGTTGTTGACATTATCTGAAGAGCAGTAGAGACTATTTATCTCAAGTCAAGATTAACCTGGGGTAGTTAGATACATATCTACAAATCTGGGTTCTACACTTCCCACCTGCACAGGGACCAGTCAGTCATAACTTGGTGTTGACTGGTTATTTCTATATGGTAATAAATATTATTATAATCAATTATAGCTGGAAATTATGACTTATAGTTTCCCTTCTAATCCAAATTGTTCCACAAATAAAATAGATTCCCACCAGGCTTATATTAGAGAGAAAAACACTAGAGGTCAGTTTATAACTGAATGCAGAAGTGGTGCAATAACCTCCATAACAGCTTCCTGAGAAGAACTCCAGCTGCATCTTAATATTTAGCACTTTGAGATTTTTCTTAATGAAAAGTGCGGTACAAATTGGATTTATTATTATTATTATTATTATTTCAAGCCAGACCTGAAGTTTATCATTCTTCCACTCATCCTAAGCTTATCCAAGCTTGGCCTGTCCTCCTAAGCTGAACTAGGGCAATACATTTACCTGAGTCAGTTCAATTGAATTCTATTCACTTTATTTCTATAGCGCCAATTCACAACACTTGTCATCTCAAGGCTCTTTACAGTTCACCCGATCATCCAGCTTACATCAGGATGTCACTTGAAACTTTTAGCAGCGCCGTTTGAGTGGAGCGGTGTGTCCAGAAACCACACTAAAAACCATTGTATATCTTACTTGCCTCTAGGAAAGATATGAGTTATTTAGACGCCACCTTTTCTAAGATTTTGGCCACAAGAGGAAGTTTAGATATTGGCATATAGTTCTTAGTTTTGGCTTGATCAAGGCTGTTTTCTAGGATTTGGTTTCAAAACCGAATGCTCGAAAGATCTGGGAACTGCCACAGAAGAGTGAGACAGTTTGAAGTTTGTTGTCACCCAAGGTCCAACTAATTTAAAAACCTTCAGGAGTAGCTTAGTGGGAAAAACATCACATGGGTAGGAGGAGGGTTTCATTTTGGACACCAAAGCAGTGATAACCTACAGTAGTACAGGTCCAAATGAGGACCATGTCAGGGAAATAAATCACATTCTGCTTTATAAAGTACAGGGGCAACCAGGACACTGGGGCACACCAGAGTTAATGGCTTCAAATAAAA